GTGCCAGGCTCTGTGCTAGGCACCGGCATTGCAAAGGTGATTAGGATGTGGGCCTCACCTTCAAGGAGTTTGCAGAGTTGACCAATGAGGGGATGAGTCAGATGTGCAAATAGATCACTGAAACACAGGGCGGTAAGTGCTGTCCTGGAAGTGCTGTGGGAGCCTGGAGAATGGCACACTGCGCTGTGCCCCTGGCAGTCAGGGAAGGCTTCCCAGCAAGGTGGTGCGGGAGCTGGATCTGAAGGACATGGAGCAGCATGCTAGACAGAGACATGAGGGAAAGACGTACACAGAGAATCCACACTTACCAAGATCCAGCATTGTTAGGTACTTTCTGATAAACACCTCATTTATTTTATTTTATTCTTATTTATTTATGTTTTTAATCTTCACCCAAGGACATTTTTCCATATTTTATTCAGATAGAGTAGGAGGGGGAGAGAGAGAGAAGCATCGACGTGAAAGAGACATATCAAGTGGTTGCCACCCGCACGACCCAACCAGGGCCGGGGACAAACTGGAACTGAGGTATGTGCCCTTAGCGGGAACCGAACCCGGGTCTCTCTGGACCTCAGGCCAATGCTCTAACCGCTGAGCCAAACCGGCCAGGGCTATTTTATTTTATTTTATTTTAAATATATTTTTATTTTTATTTATTTATTTTTTTTTGAGAGAGAGATAGAAACATCTATGTGAGAGAGAAACATTGATTAGCTGCCTCCTGCGCACCCCCTACCAGGGATCGAGCCTGCAACCCGGGCATGTGCTCTGACTGGGAATTGAACTGGTGACCTCTTGGTGCATGGGAGGATGCTCAATCCACTGAGCCATGCTGGCTGGGAGTAAACACCTCATTTAACCATCCCTGAAGTCCTGCAGAGAAGGTCTCATTTCCCATCTTTACAAACAAGGACACTGTGCTTAGAGGCGTTCAGTAACCTGCCCAAAATCTCATCCAGGAAGGGCCAGAACTAGGATATGGACCTAATTTTGGGAAGACTCTAAAGCCCATAGTCCTTCTGCCACACCTTCCTGCTTCTAAAATGTACAGGGGCCATGAAAGAGCAGTAGAGGGAACAGTAAGAAGTCCAGTGTGCTGGCAAGGGGGAGCCCAGCAGGTAAGTGCTGGAAAATGAATCCAAAATGGTAGCCTGAGCCAGGTGGTCAGGGCCTCCGGTGATATGCCTTCACTCCACAAGCCCTGAGTAAATAGCCAGTTTTCCAGACACCAAGCAGAGATGTACTGCATACAGGACTTGCCCTGGGGGCTCACTTTCCAATAGGGTAAGCTGGAAGGACTTCGCTCTTCTGGACTTGAACCCAGCCCTGGTCAGAGTTGGTGTTTTAGGGAGGAGAAGGTAAAAATTCTATCAGCAGCCCGGGGCGGGGGGAGGGAGGTGTAGTATGCTCTACTGAAAACCTAGGCAATGGGAAACCATTAGAAATGTTTACGAAAAACCATGACCCCTTTGGTGATGCAGAACCATGAAGTGGTGACACCGTCCCTGTCAGGAGTCGGTGGTGGGCTGTCGTGACAATGTGTGTCCAAGGGTTATGACGACGCGTGTTTGGGATGGGCTCACCTCTTCCTGGGTAATTGGGAGAGGGGAGGCAGCCCCAGCAGAGAGCTGGACCCTGGGTGGAAAGACACTCTCCAGGCACACTGGAGAGAGGAGACAGCCTTGCTAGACCCGCGTAACTGCCCCCCGTTTCTCCAGCCCCAGGTGTGCCGGTGTGCAGCCCTCGAACCCAGTCCTGCCAGCACCCTGCTGTGGGCCCTGTGCATGCTCTCTGGCTACAACTCAGATTTGCTGCTTTGGGAAGCGTGCATATTAGCTTGAATAACAATCATAAAACCTTCTTGGATTTATATAGCACATTATCTTCCGAGAGTTCAAAGTCTCCTTAAGGCTTTTGTTCTACTTCATTCCAAGTGCATCCCTCTGGATACAAGCAGATAGATTCTGTAATTCTCATTTTGTTGAGAGGGATAGAGAAATGCAGAAAGACTTATGAAGCAGAACAGAATTTTTCCAGCCAGTGTACATCAGGTGTGTTTTAGGAGGGCAGTACTTGGTCGGTTCTTTAGGTTTTAGCTTTTCTGTGAGCATGAATGATTGTGGAGACCTTAGAAGCAGTATCTGCATAAAAGGAATTTCCCTTGCCCTGGCTGGTTCGGCTCAGCGGTTAGAGCGTTAGCTCACAGATCAGAGTTGCGAGTTCAATTCCGGTTAAGGACACATACCTCAGTTGCTGTTCGATCCCTGGTCCTGGTTGGGGTTATGTGGGAAGCAACCAATTGGTGTGTCTCACTCACATCGATGTGTCTCTCTTCCTCTCTCTATCTAAAAATCAATGGAGAAATATCCTCAGGTGAAGATTTATTTAAAAAAAAAAAAAAAAAAGGAATTTCCCTCTGCCTCTGCTTCCACTCTCCACCCCACCCCCACACGTTTGATCTTTCTTGATTTTTGAGTCTGCCTTTTCAGCATTTGTTTCCCTAATAGGGGCATCGTGCGCTGTCCCCCACAGGCTTCCAGGAAAACCTCTGATAAACTCATTTCACTGAAATGAAAAGGACCGATAAGCTGATAACTGCCCCACGAGTTAGTCACTGAGTGTTTATTAGGTGCAGGCATGTGCAGAGGGTGGTGATATATATAAACTAATTTAATCTTCATAGCAATCCCATGCGCTGGGTCACTGTCATTCACGCCTTTTTACAGATAAGGAGACCAAGGCTTAGGGAAGCCTGGTGTATCATCTGTCCCTGGGTTATTTGCATCTGAGCAGTCAGCACAGAACACAGTGGCCAAAATGTGGATCTGCCCTTGAGAAGGTTCAGGCATCATCTAGGGATCATGGGTTAAATCTTGGAATTTTAAAAAAATGTTGGCTTTGGCTTCCCTGACTTCTGTCAATGGGGAACACACATTTGTGAGTCATCTGGGAGATTTGTGGAATCGTCTAAGACATCGAGCGCTCCCTTTAGACGGCATGTTTCCACATTCCTGCCTGCACTGCCACAGTGCACTCATTTACTGTGGGTTCTCAGCACATTTCTTAAAAAGGACACTAAGGTTTTAACAAGGAGAACAAAACTTGTTTTCACCAGTATAGATTCACATTACAGTACACCAGTATTGAAAGCGTTCTCTCGTCTATTGGTGGCACAGAAGATGGTCTCTCTCTGCATAACCTTGTAAGGCTTCAGTAATGAAAACATACAACAAACAACCCTCCCCCCGCCAAAGCCTATTAGTTTACAGTTTATTTTAAAAGTTCTGAGACACAGTAAGTTCTAAACTTTTAATAGTGCTACCCGTACACAACCATGTGGTCAAGATCCCAGTGAAAGAACTGATTCTTGCAACAGCAGAATTGTGCAATATGGATGTTTCTTACTACAAAAAAAAAAAACAATTATACATGGTGCCTTGGCTGGTCTGGCTCAGTGGTTAGAGTGTCAGCCTGTGGACCAATGAGTCAGGGTTCGAGGGCACATACCTGGGTTGTGGTTCATCCCCAGCCCTGGTCAGGTGGTTTGGGAGGCAACCAGTTGATGTGTCTCTCTCACATCAATGTTTCTCTCTCTCTCTCTCTCTCTCTCTCCGCCTACCTCTCTCTCTACCTCTCTCTCTCCCTCCCACTCTATCTGATGATAAATAGAAAAATATCCTCGGGTAAGAATTAAAAAATAAAAAATATATATACATGGCACATTCTCATTCATATTTTGTAATGTAAAAAGTTACAAACATACTTAATCAAATACATAATAATAAAAAAATGTGAATGTATTTGTTAAGTATCCTAAAACAACTACATAGAATAATAGCAACTTTCACTCACAGATTATTTACATGTGTGGGTACACTGCTACAAAACTCAAAACAGAAGGAGTAAACTTGAAATGTTTTCTGTAATAAAGATCTAGCAGAAAAAGACAAATACCACATGATCTCACTTATATGTGGAATATAATGAACATAACAGTCTGAGGAATAGGGTAGACACAGAGACGTGGAAGTAGGGTACAGACTGACAACCCTCAGAAGAGGGAGTAGTTGGGGGAGGGAAGAAATAAACCACAGAACTTATAGGCATGTATGCATAACCAATGGACATGAACAACAAAGCCGGGGATGGGGTGGGGGGCATGGGGAGGAGGGTGTCAATGGGGTAAAAAAGGAGAAACATCTGTAACAAAAAAATAATAATAATAAAAGAAAGATCTAGCGGCGTGACTATCTAATGCTGTTTTATCCTGAATGCTGCTGAAATGTTTCTTTTTAGTCTGTGTCTTTATCCAGTTCACAATAGTCTTTATCTAAGTTTACTAAAAGAACCCATACAAGCATATTTTCCAAAGTGTTTCGGTCCCGTGAAGTAGATGTGTCCAGACAGGGCTGACTGTAGAACTAGAGCATTCTGGTTGCAAATAAAAAACATGCATTCTCATCCTGGCTGGTTTGGCTCAGCGGTTAGAGCGTCAGCCCGTGGACCAAATAGTTGTAGGTTTGATTCCAGTCAAGGGCACATACCTTGGTTGTGGTTGGGTCCCTGGCTCTGGTTGGAGTCATGCGGAGGCAACCAGTTGATGTGTCCCTCTCACATCGATGTTTCTCTCTGCCCCCACCCTACTCTATCTCCCACTCTATCTGAGGATAAGTGTAAAAAAGTATCCTTGGGTGAGGATTTTAAAAAAAGAAAAAGAAAACAAACATGCATTCTCTGATTAAGATTCTGTGGACTTTTAGACAAGTAACATTCAAACTTTTTCACAGGACATCTATACGGTTTGGCTGTATTTTCAATTTGTTCAAATACCAGCTCATCATCTTCATGTTTTCTTTTCCCAGTAGTAGTTTCATCTTCATTATCTGTTCTGTGTAAGGAAGACACTTGGTATCAGAGACATGCTTTGTTTTCCATTGTTAAAGAATTTTTTTCCCCAATGTCTAAACATAGTGCCAAAGGAAAGTCTTCTCCTTTTGTAGACATTTGCCTGAAAAAGTTAAGGATGACCAGCAGCTGAAAAATATGAGTGGCCAGTGGTTTTACGAAGCCAAGGCAAAAAGGCACAGAGACAAAATCCACGGCACAGATATCATCAGGGCATCCATGAGGAAGAAGAGGCTTCAGGGAGCAGGTGAGTTGATGCGGCTAGTACATTTAGAGCCAGCGTTTGTTTGGGAAGGAGGTGTCGGGACAAGGGGAGTGTCAGAATCAACACTAACATCTACTGAGGGAAAGTCATGTAAATGTACACTTTTCATAACGTGGAGCCCTCAAGCTCAGAATGGATGGATGAGGGTGGCTGAGTGACTCAGTGTGCTGTAGAAGGGAAAAGGAAGTCCTTCTGATGCCATGGTGAGGAGTAATAGTATAGACAACAGAGATTTATAAGGATCTACCACCTCTTATTTCTTTTCTAATTATTATTATTATTATTATTAATTATTATTATTACTATTTTAACTCTGAAGATCAGAACCTTTTCTCTTGAACAGGACGAAGAGCTTAGACAGAAAGAGATTAGCATCCTTGTTCAATGACCTTGACATCTGATACTTCTTTAATCAGCCAAGTATATTATTTAAGGGACTCTAAAGACAGTATTTTGAGGGCTGCTTTAGAATTCTGTTGAGTCCATTAAATATTTCCCTGGTGCCTTCTCTCTAACTTTGGACTAGTCAGTGTAAATCTTTAATCCTGAGAACAGCCCCTGACTGTACTTAATAAGGAAAATAACTGTCACCTTTTGAGCATCTAATCTGTGATAGGTATTTACTCTGTCTTATTTCTAATTGTAGCAGCAATCTTGTAAGGTAGATATTATTATCCCCATTCTATATATGGGGTATGTAAAGTCCGTAGGCCCAAGGTCAGACAGCTTGCAAGTGGCAGAGCTCAGTTTTCAGTCTTTCTAAAAGAGCCACACTCCTTGCAGGTAAGGCCTACCTGCTCAGTATGTGCCATGCATTGCTCATAGGCCTCTTGATTTTCAAAACCATCCAGACCTTCAGAAATTATGAGGGGCACAGGTTAGAACTGTGGACTCCAATTTGCAATTGAAAAGTCTGGATTTTTAATGTAAAGAGATCTGTGGGGAATACTACCCTGGAATATGAGTATGTTTGGAAATTCGGAGCCCTAAATTGGTTCATTTTCTTAACACTGAAGAAAGTATTCCTGGCACTTGCTGGTTATATGGCCTTAGGTAAGTTTCCTGAACTCAGTGACCCTCAATGTCCAGATCTACAGATTTGGAAAGCCACTCCCTCCTCGTGGGATAATACACGCAAAGAATGAGGCTCTGTGCACGTCACTGTCATCTCTCTGTTGATGCTAATGATCTGAGAGGTGCAGGTCAAGAGCCCTGGGTGTTCAGAGGCAAAAGAGGTTATTTCCTGGAGAGGGAGCACAGAGGTTTTGTGGGGTCCTGGTATCCGAGCTGGGTATTAAGGGATATGTAGAGTTTGGAGGAGAGGGCAGCGGAGGGGGGACATATAGACTGAAAGTGTTTGTTCCCCTTTGTAGCCCAGAGCCCAGCCTCGAATCAGGCACATTGCGAATGTTCAATAAATGCTTGGTAATGGTGGTGCTTCTGTTCCCATGAGGACTCCCTGTCCTTGGTGTCCCCTGCACAGACACATTCGGTCCTGACCCCAATTCATGTCTGATTCATCTAGAGGCAGTCAGAATTTTGCTTCAGTTGTCTCTAGAGTTACCTGTACATGGCTCTTGGGAGACTGCTGGGCACAGGGAGCTAGCAGCAGAGGAGTCTACCAACTTCCCTTGCAGATAAAATTCTTATCCCTAATACTCAGCCACATTATTGATTGCCCTGGCACTCAGAGAAGGCCTGAAGTTCAGGTTCCAGCCTTCAGTGATAAGAGCTGATATGAGACTTGTAGGTCATGGAGGTGAGAGATAACCTTCCTGTGTTTATTGTTTCCTGTTTCAGTTGAGCAGAGTAAAGACAGAGAAAACAGGACAAAGGAAAGCTGGGTGAATAATGTCAACAAAGATGCTTTCCTTCCCCCAGAGCCAGCCGGTGTTGTAGAAGAGCCAGAAGAAGAAGTAGGCCCAGCAAGTCCAAGGTAAGATGGAGCTCACGGGGAGAGCTGTTGCATGTGGGTTTCGTGGCTTAGTGTGCAGTACGAGCAAAGTAGCGGGCTATTAGTGCAGATGCTAGACTGGGCTCCTGGGCGTGGGGAAGGGGCGTGCCTGAGAAAATTCTGGGCCCCAGTGTAAACAAAGCATGGGTGGTACTATTTCCCAGCTTCCAGAATGTCTAACAAATCTGAATATTCAATAAAATTAAAATATTAAGTGGTGATTTCTTTCTGCACCAGCAGTAGCTGTTTTTTTTATCTGTATTAAGGATTTTTTCTTAGGGTAGAATGAAGAGGTATTCTAAAATGAATATAGGGAAATGAGTCACTTCAGGGAAGAGATGAATTATGATCAAATTATAACAGCCCGGTACAATGGAAGCTCAGGCATGGGGACCAGACAAATATGAGTTCAAATCCTGAATATGCCGGTTATTACCCATTTGACCTTGGGCAAGTCATTTAACCTCTCTGAGTCTCTTTTCTTAACCACAGATGGGAATGATAATATATACCAGGAAAGGCTATGGTGAAAATTAGCGATAATGTGCGCAGAATACTTGGCACCCAGTAGAAGGTGTTCAGTAAATGCTTCTTAAGGATGTAGATTGTCCTGACGTTTCAGTCTCGTTTTTTTAGTGTTTCCCATACATGTTGTCATCTGGCCAATCAAAATGTACGTTTGTACCTCCTTCCTATGAAGTAGCTGGTTGTGGGGCTACATTGCCACAAACCTTTTGAGCCATGATGACTAGCTTTTAGGGATTTAAGGATTTTGTGTTGGTGTATGTCCCTTGGAGGTAAAGTTGTTACCCTTTGGTGGGAGGGCAGTTCCATTTTATCTTCAGCTCCTCAGTGAAGACAGTTCACTTCAGAGTCTCCAACTGGGATAAAGTTTATGAATTTGCTGGTGGGGCTCACTGAGTCAGGGTCCAAGGCTGAGGCACCTGGGGAATAGGGATGTTTCAACGTAGTTTATAGGTGAGGGGAAGGGTCTATAATATAAGCACCCAAAGGCATTTCAGAGTCAAATATGAATAAAAGTATGTCCCATGGATGGTGGAATACTGATTCTGTCACAGGGCCCATTATTTATCCAGGTCCCTGTTGCAGAGGACTCGCTTTGTTTTCCACGGGTGGAGGTGCGGTGGGACAACTTGTAACGCTTTGTGATGTCTGTAGAGGCCATGTTGGCTAGAGGTTAAAACACCTTAACAGCAGCCCTGATTAGTTTGGCTTGGCGGTTAGAGCCTTGGTCCACTGAAGTGTCACAGGTTCAATTCCAGGTCAAGGGAACATGCCTGGGTTGCAGGTTTGATCCTTGCCCCAGTCGGGGTTGAGGTTGTGCGGGAAGGCCGTCAATTGATGTCTCTCTCTCTGGCATGGATGTTTCTCTCTGCCTCTCTCTCCCTTTCTACCTTCAACTCTGTCTAAAAACCAATGAAAAATATCCTCTGGTGAAGATTAACAAAAACAAAAACAATAACACACCTTAACAGTAGCCACTTACTGCTTCTGTGACCTTGCACTGGAAGTGACTTAACTCCTTGGGCCTTTGTTTTCTCAGCTGTAAAATGGGAATGATAATAATTTGCAACAAGATTACTGAGAAATGAATTAGCTAATAAATGTAGAATTCCTAATACATAGTCCTTGGACACATTAGAGGCTCAGGGAATGGAGGTATGGGCTCTCACATGCACACAGCTACTTCCAGAAGTGCAGGAAGGGTGTGAAGAATCCTACTCCTTTCTTCTTAGTGACACCCCAGCTGCCTGCAACCCCCCTCATGGGGCTAAGGCCTGCCTTCCTTCCATAGGGAGAGACGAGACCTTACGTAATGGAAACTCTGGGAGTGAGAACACAGTTGTTTAGATAAACCACCTAGGAGCTGAGTTTGGTGGGGACAGAGAGCACCGGAGCACTAACGAAGGGGAGGGGATACAAGTGCCCAGAAGAAGAAATGAGGAAAATGTTGGAGTTTTAGAGACAAATAGAATTCATTGCACAGTTTTATGTGGGTCAGACTTCCTGTCCTTCTCCTAGGAACTGATTTCATCTCAAAGGGCCTGAGGGACAGAGATGCCACTGCCTGATAACCCAACTCATTTTTCTCATGACCCGATGGGGGCTGCTGGGTATCACCCTCTCTTCTTTATTTTTATTTATTTATTTATTTCATTAATTAATTTTTGTTACAGATGTTTCTCCTTCTTCCCCCACTGATTCCCCCCTCCCCCTCCCTCCCTGCCCTTTCCCCAGTTAGTTGTCCATGTCTACCCTCTCTTCTTTAGTTTGAGGCTATTGAGTTTCCAAAACTTGTGTATCCATTGTTTACTGCATTCCTTGTGTGACTTTCCAGGTCTTGTGAGTCCTTTGGGTCTCAACTGTAAATTAGAACAGAGCTGCCTCACCAAGGTGTTGTGAGGTTAAATGAAATGAGGTGTGGGGACCACTAAGCGTTTCTCAGGAAGAAAGAAAATTGGCAATTTCCAAGTGGCATGATAATTATGTTATAACAATGATGAGGTATGGTTGGGAAAGTAAGAATAAGGATGTAAGATGTTCTCTGGCCAGTTTGGCTCAGCAGTTGGAGTGTTGGCCTGCAGACCAGAGAGTCCTGGGTTCGGTTCCCACTAGGGGCACATACCAAAAAAAAAAAGTAAGATGTACCCAGCATGCTTTGCTCATTACATGGCATGGGTGGTAATCACCCAGAACTGTAGACCGAGCTGTTATTTACTTCCTCTTTTCCTTGTCAGAAACCACTGCTTTACTCAGTATCAGGTTCCTGCAGCATTTCTCACCTATACTTTAACCTTTGGGAACTGGGTGTGTTAAGTGTGTTTTGGGGCCTGAGTGAACTTCAATGGAATGACTCAATACCTGTCAATATTTTCTTAGCCAGGCATCAGGGAGTATGAGGCAACCATGACTGGATGTTGTAGTCTCTGAAGGAGGTTTTCCAATGATCTCTGTGGCCAGGTTCCTTCTTGCTATTGTGGGTGCAGTGGGGGTTCTGCCTGTGGGGAATGAAAACACTGCGGGCACTGAGCCTGTCCTCAACCCCTGGAAGCCACCCGTGCTCTTTTGGGACTCCTCTTTGTCTGCACCTGTCACAGCAGGAAGCAGAGAGAGGTCTGATGAACGGAGGAGCAGAGAACAAGACTTCTTTTAGAGTGGCCAAGGGAAAACTCCAAACACTCACATTTCTGGTTAATGACCTTCAACAGGGCAGTGTTGGCTAGACTGTGGGCAGTGTTGGCACAAACTGTGGTAAAGAGCCAGTGTTTTGTTTTTAAAAAATAATTGTGTTTTTAGTGATCACAGCAGACTTTCAATTTCTGTACTTATCTCATTGTGAACCAGTAACAGACAGTTCACGACTGGCACTCGTCCATGAACCACACCTTGGGGGGCATATTATGTCCCCCACCGCCACCCCCAAAAAGAAAACAACTGTAGAACCTGTGCAGATAATCTGCAGGATGGAGCCAAAGTGGGAAGACAGAATAAAAATGTGAGGTGCTCGTCCCCTGTGGTCAGGACCCTGCCCAGAAATGAGGTACAATGCGTCCTGACCATAGAGGTACATAGGCCTGTTCTGGAATGAGAAGCCCTTTTTTTTACTTATGACGACATACACTGTGAAACTAGTTTGGGTGCTCTGGGAAACACTGACAGTCTAGTAGCCTCTCTACTGGCCAGAGCCTTAGATCGAAATTGATGCTCTTTGGTCTGAAAGCACCTGAAAGGGGACTGACCTTGGAGTCAGTCTCTCTCTCTCTCTCTCTCTCTCTCATATCTTCCTTTAAGACCACCCCTCTTAGATCTGGTCCCTTTGGTAGCTTATGTAGTCTTAGCTCTGTGGTCGCAGACAGGGCCAGCCCAGGCCTCTAAAACAAAAAAAACAACCAGTAGTTTCTCCAGTGTGTTTTAAGCTTCCCAGTTCTCTTCCCCTCTGGTTCCTCCTCCCACATCCTTTCTATCGCATATTCCTCAGTTGCCTGGTAGCCTCCTTTCTCCCTTGAAGGGATCTAACATGCATTCCACCCTAAGACTTTTCAATAATGCAAGCCTGTCTGGATGGAAGTTTTAAGCTTCTTTTGTGATGAGCCAATCTATAGACAATGCATTTGATCTTTCTTTTGTCCTTGGATTGATTGCAATCCAGTGGTGTGACCATTTCATGTCTTGGAGGCCTGCCCCACATTTATGTTGAACTCTTAAAAGAATCTTTCTTAATCCTATAGGGCCTTGGATTTACTCAAATCAGTTGCGGTAGGAATAGTTTCACTGTGACGTCAGAGTGCCTTGTACTTGGATGAGAATATATAGAGATTTTTTTTTTTCTTTCACATTCCTTTTTTTTTTTTTTTTAACTTATCTTTATTGTTGAATGTATTACAGATGTTCCTCATTTTCCCTCTATTGATCCCTTCTGCCTTTCCCCACTGTAGTCTGTGTCCATTGGTTATGCATATATACATATAAGTTCTTTGGTTTATTTCTTCCCACACCCCAACCCCCTTCCCTTTGAGGTTTGTAAGTCTAGCAACCAGTTTGTACTTCTTAATTCCTTCACCTTTTTCACCTATTCCCCCACCCCCCTCCCATCTGGCAACCAACAAAATGTTCTCTGTATCTATGTGAATGTTTCTGTTCTGCCTGTTCATTTTGTTTGTAGGTTCAATTGTCAATAGGTATTCATTGCCATTTTGTTTGTTCATTTTTTTTTTTTTTTCCAAGAAGACCCTTCAACATTTCATATAATAATGGTTTGGTGGTGATGAACTTCTTTAGCTTTTTCTTGTCTGGGAAAGTCTTTATATGACCATCGATTCTAAATGACAGCTTTGCGGGATAGAGTAATCTTGGTTGTAGGTTCTTGCTTTTCATCACTCTGAATATTTCTTGCCACTCCCTTCTAGCCTGCAAAGTTTCTTTTGAGAAATCAGCTGACAGTCTTATGGGAACTCCCTTGT